CCCCAAAACCCCAAAACCCCAAAACCCCAGACACTTATTCTATAATTGAAACTAAAATGACAGTTTATGCTAATTTTCCAATATGGCTGAAGGAGGGAAGCATGCATCCTTTTTTTCCTCCATAAAATCCTGCTGAACTTGTAAGAAATATTTATGATTAATGAAAATAAGAAGTCTACTTGCCAATTCTTTCAATGTATTCTTTCATAAACTCGTTCTTCCTCTGCTTGATCATCTTTAAGTACTGGTTCCGAAAGATTATCAGGTTAATCTGATTCTTTAAAGGCAAATTCTTCTTAATTTTGTTGGGTACTTGAGTACCCATGAAATATATAGGGTTGTCATTAGATTTTGGTTTTTTATGGTATACTTTAGCTAGATTTTTCTTTTTGCCCTTGATAAAGCGAGGTAAGAAGATCCTCTTTTGAAGGTCTTCAAACATTCTTTCGTTGAACATTTTACTATTTCCCGCATTCATAAAATCTTCTTTCAATTCGCCGATGATTGAAGAACGGGAGTCATAGGTATCCATCCTATCTTTCATGTCTACTTCATATCTTCCGATTGAGCTGCTAGAAACATTATTTGATTGTTGTGAATTAAGATCGCCTGAGTGCATGGATTGGCTATAGGATTTGATTATTTTCTCAGATTGAGATCTTTGATTGATTTCTTAAAAACCCAGTCAACCAAATCCTTGCTTATGATATCAGCACATTGGTTCTTACAATAAATCCCTGCGTTCTGGTTCAGGACTGATGACACTCTTCTGTACTCTAAATTTACTTAAAATTTCTTACTTTTCATCCCTCATGAATTTTATCGGAGTCCTAGATAAATGTTAGGTTTTCAAAATATCTAAATTTTTATGAAAAATTGAATTATTCTTCAACTGAAAAGTTGGAGTATGATTTCACTCGGAGATTAATCTAACCTAATACCTTGATGAGTACCAGAAATTGTATGACATAAAGATACAGCAATAATGAAGTTTATTGAGATTCCTGCGAAAGTCATATAACAAGTATTCGATAAAAGCAAAAAACTGTAGAATATGAAACAGATATCAAGCTAGATTAATGCCAAGCAATAATAGCTCCCTAATTATGGATAATGAGTTATAAGTTTATTGACAAATCGAAATTTAGAGGCTAAAAGTTTCATGAATGGGACATCAGTACTCCTAATTTTTTAATAATTAAGGTATAACAATAACTTACTTATTTCCTGACATGGCTAAAATTAAAGTTCCTTCTTGCTCGTTTCTTCTTAGGAGAAATTGATGTTAAGCTGTCTCTTTCATCCATGCTGTATTTTAGATTAGGAAGAACTGGAAGACCAATATTTTATTATTCAGAATACAGGCTATGGTGACCCGAGAGTTGTAATCAAACGTGCGGGTTTAGCCTTATCTAATTTCTTAAGAGGTCTGAGATGAAATCCGTAATTTTAGATTTGGGAAATTTTATATTGGGGTTTAGGAGCATAAATTGGGTTAGAAAGAAGGATTTTTGGGGCGAAATTATAGCATTTTGTAAAGAGAATTTTTGTGATAGCATTGGCTTCTATCTAACCCTGATTTTAGTAAACACCTTCTTGGATGAGATATACTATGAAAGTCAGATTACTATTGAAGAATCATTTAAAGGCCTTTGGACTATCTTTAGAGTTATCAAATATTTAAGTTATCTTTGATTTTATCAAAAAGTACAAAAAGTTTTATCAATAAAATAAAATTCCAGGAAAAGTGACATTTTAGTTAATTTTTAAGCTATACATATTCTTTGGTTCAGAAGAATTTGTGAGGTTATTTTACCTTTTGAAAGCATTCTTTTTAAGCATTCTCCACTGGTTCTAAATTATAATTAGAATTACATAAAATATAAGCACAGACTGCTACAAAGTTTCATAATTTTTTCAAAATATCAAGAGAGGAAATGCTATAAATATCAATACCGTACCAAAGGTTCAGGATTGGCCAAATTTCTTGTGTTCTATATCATTAGCCATCATTTCCTTAGTCCTTACCTTTTGTCTTGGTTGAAGACTTTCATGATGATTTACTATAAATTACTCTGATAATCTACCATTTCTCTTGATTATGAAATTCTTAGATATCTGCTATATAAATGTTAAACCGGGTTTTAAGCCTCCAAAACGTGAAATAAGTGGGGTTTTTACCTTTATTCCACTGTGGTTAACAGAGTCGAATTTGATACTACTGCAGGATAAGCTATCCCTTTTGTCGATCTAGAGATTAGATGAGGCTGTACTGTGATGCTCTGGTTAAACTTGACCTCTTCTTTCTCTTCTGATTCTATATTCATGCGTTTAGGCTGGTTTTTAAGCGGTATGAATCATTCAAGAGGTTTGAAAAATTATAAGGTTTAAGAGTAGAGTACATAGCGGAGGTTTGCACAGAGACTCAATGATAAATGTAAGGAGACGTGATCATAAGCAGGCCAAGGATTGAGGGGTAGATTTAGAATAAAATTTATGTCAGAATTTTAAGAAATTTCAGATATTTTAGAATAAAAGAGTAGTTTTTGAATTAATTGGCTTGAATCATCTTTGATACAAGAATTAAGTATTAGGTGGATAAATAATTCTCCTTATAATCACATTCAAATCTTTTACTTGCTTTAATGCTAGTAAGTATTCCAGAATGTTTTTTTACAACTTTTGTACAAATTTCAGTAAATTTTATACGCATGCAAAAGCAAGAATCTGGAAAGGTTTACCTTCTTTTTCAAGAATCACTTGGTTTCGGAATCATAGCGGAGAATGCTTGTTATTTGATATCTTCGGTTCCATCTTGGATTTAGTGTCTTGGCTTAATATGTGGCTATGCACTCGCTTGTGGGTCTTTGAGAGTTTCTTTCTAGTAGAGATGCTCCTAGTTTTGGGTAAATCAAAGTCTAGCTGTTAGCTCAGAAGTTACGCTTGTTCAGCTTCTTGAGAAACAAGTTCTTCTTGGGAATCCTGATTTTAGTGTATTTTGATTTTTGTGATAATGGGTGATGGATTTGACGAAGTTCCTTTGGTGACAGTTGTCTTTTGACCTTCTGGAGAAATTTATCGGTTTTATGCCTGTTTTGGGTCTATGTGATAATTAAGTTTTAGAGAGGGAAGAAGATAGATTGAAAATTTTTAATTTTGGAGAGACAATGTTGAAATATATAGGTGAAATAATAAAAATTTAGAAAAATAGATATGCTATAGCTTTAATCATGTTTAAGTACCCTCTAGTTCCCCTAAATCTCAAAATATTCCCTAAATCTCTCAAATAATTTCTTCCTCTCACTCTCCTCTCCCCTTAACCCCACTAAAACACCTTATTATACTCTAAAACTTTCCATTTCCTCAAAAATAGTCAAAATCTTCTAACCCTCTTAAAAGTCTCATGCACTCTTCTCTTAGCAAGTGTTAATAAATCCTGAATAAATTCCATCAAATCTCTTTTAAAGCTTCTTTAAAATTCTTTTAAAATTCATAATGTTCCTTAATTTATGAATTTATTCGGATTTATTAAATTCTGAGCATTTTGGAGAAGTTAAGAATTTGAATTTTAGGAAGAGAGATTAATAGGTTTTAGAAAATGTTAAAAAGAAGGTTTAGGAGTGGATTTGGAGGGATTTAAAGGGATTTTGAGGTGTTGGAAATGGAAAATGGACATAGGGGTTTTTGGATGAGTTTAAAAGGAATTGTAGAAGGTTTATTGAGGGATTTTTTGTTAATGGGATATGGGAAGTTGGATTTTTTTATGAAAGTACCTGGTTTGGGAAGGGAACATGTTTGTTAAGGGCAATAGCGAAGGACTCATCATGTCTATATTTTTCCATTATGATAATTATTATCAATATTTTAACTTCAGATGGGGTTTTGGGGTTTTGGGGTTTTGGGGTTTTGGGG